TTATTTGTTCCAAAAATTGTCCAATGACTTATTTAACATATTTTGGAATGTCCAATGACTTATTTGTTCCAAAAAATTGTCCAATGACTTATTTAACATGTTTTGGAATGTCCAAGGACTTATTTATTCCAAAAAAAAATCCAAGGACTTAATCATTCCAAACAAGAAAGTCCATTGGTTTTTATTGTACTTTTCCCTTATTATTAATATTTATTATATAACTAGTTTCGAACCCGTGTATTACACGAGGTATTTTAAATGAGGAAAATGAGTTGAAACTTTTCCTCAGGTCTAAAAAAAAACTCTAAACATTAACTCTGAAACACAAGAATTCAGAGTTCTATTGTTAGTCTGGAAAATAACTCTTGACTTAACTCTGAATAAGAGGAATTCAGAATTATCTTCTAAGTTTAGAAAGTATCTATGAGCATAACTCTGAGTCACAAGAATTCTGATTTCTCAAAACTCAGAAACGTAACTCTGAACTTCAACTCAGTTCAGAGTTGTATTCTAAGTATGGGAATAAACTATGGAACTAAGTCTGGAACAGAATAATTCAGAGTTATGTTTTAAGTCTGAGAAATAACCAATATCTGATGACTTCATATTGGTGATTTGTATCACTAATGTCACTTAAGTGTAATGGGATTAATTTGTTGATCAATGTAATCATGATAAATATCGAACAAGTAAGGAAGGTGCGAAGTGCACACTTTTTTGAGTTTATTTTGATTTAGGGGCGAAGCCCCTAAACGACGGGGGTTCGGGGGCAGTGTTCCCGGTGGCGGGGTCCAAGGGGCGGCAGCCCCTGACGGGTAATATTGCTTTGTGAAAAATGCTTCAAAAATCCGAATTTGAAATTTTAAACCCAATTTTGATGACCATTTCAGAGTTAAATGCAGACTTGCAACTCTGAATTTCCCAGAGTTATGTTGTAAGTCTGGAGGCCACTTCGGAGTTAAATTCAGACTTATAACTCTGATTTTCCCAGACTTTTATACTTGTATGTCTTATAAGTCTGCAAGATAACTCTGAAATTTAACTGAGAAAAAGGAGTTCTGACTTGTCCTCAGACTTTTATACTGGTAGGCCTTATAAGTCTGGCAGACAACTCTGAATTTTAACTGAGGAAAAAGAGTTCAGACTTGTCCTCAAGCCTACAAAGAAACTCTGAACTTTAACTCTGAAGCATAAGAATTCAGAGTTGTGTTGTTAGGCTGGGAAACAACTCTCGACTTTAACTGGGAAAAATGGAATTAGAGATACAGTCAATGATGTAATTAATCTCTTGACATTTCTATTTGTGGCAGTACAAAATGTGCCAAATTTTCTATCTCCTGTTGTTGCTTCAATGAATAACGGTTTTCTTCTAAACATGGGGTCTCCTGGTGGTAAGGTTTTTGCTGAAAAAGTCTGGAAAAGTCTGTAGATATCAGACTTATAATCAGTTGTGTTTACAAGAACAGATGTCAATTAAATAGGCTCATTTGAACCAGTAATGTAAATTGTGTTTACATACATGTTTAGGCGGAAAATATCAATAACCGTCACACAGAAACATGACACGTATCCCCAAAATTACTTAGGGTTATTTATAAAAATAACCGGTTTACACAACCTTTTGCCACAAAATAACCACATTTTAGAGGTTTTGCCAAAATAACCACTCGGATCGCCCCCGAGGGAGATCCGTACACAATGGGGGCGATCCCGGGTAAAAAAAAAATTCCT